GGTGGCCCTGCGCTTTTCAGTGAGTCCTGGGGCAGATGGCTTTGGGAGAGAACCCCAGAACCCCCGTTCCTACGCTGCAGCCCCAAGTCAATGAGCCGAGTTTGTGGCCTAGTTTTGGGGGGTCTGGAGACCTGGTGAAGTCAGGACAGACCCGCAAGCAGGTGCTCGCTGCCGATTCCGAGGGAGGGCTGACTGGCTCTTCCTCCCGCAGACGCAGACGGGAGAGGTAGGCAGCCGCCGACCAGCACCGACCAGCACTGTGGCCGCTAAGGGTTGCACGTGGTTGGTTAAGTGGCCCCCGGAATTAGCTCCTGGCCTCCCAAGGCCCCTACCCCTTTCCACTTCACAAATTATGAACTTTCCAAAAGATTTTCGCTTCTGAATCATGTTTTTAGCAGCTTGGTAAACAGTGGCCGGTGAGGGGCCTGTGCGCTGAGCACTCACTAAGCACAGCCGCGGTGTGGCTGCTGGGGAGCTGGCTGGAGTGGCAGGTCAGCCCCGAACTGCCCTTCACGGAGCTGGTGAGCCCACCTGCTCCTTCCCAGAGGAGTGGACCCTGCATGAGACTTAAATGGCAGAATATATCCTTCCATGAGGAAATTCAAGGGGCGCTAAGTAGTTCCGGGAGATGTGGTGGAGGGCTATGGGCGGGGAACCGCCTAGCGCGGGTCTTCCATCTTGGCATGGGGGCACAGCCTCGCTGGCTGGGCTGTCCTGTGCGCCAGACCAGAGTCTCCGCTAAGGACTCTAGTTGTCATTGTGTCCTGAGTACCAGAGAGAAACTTGGAGCAGAAATGATCTTTCATGACAGTGCTCTCTGTGCTTTCTCCAGCCTCGACCCAGTTGGCTTTATTGAATGACCATGGAATCAGACAGGTGAGGCCAATTTCCTAACCAGAAATGGAAACATGTAGGCCTCCTTCCTAGGGATGTGGAGAGCAGGTGCCAGCAAAACACCTCCAACAGCTGGTCTCTGGGAGGGTGGTGGGGAGGTGCAGGGAAAGCTTGAATGCAGGGCTGTTTTCAGAAGTCAACGCTGCTGCCAGAACAGAAGGGAGGTGGGCACAAGGAAGCACTTGGGAGCTGATGCAAATGTCTTTAAGAGAATGAACTTGACAGTAACTTGCAACTACTGCCACTGGACAGCAGTGAGGCCTGCCAGGCAGCTCAGTGTGCCAGCCTAGGAGCCTGGCTGTGCCCTCACACCCGAGTATCTGCTGTTTAACTCCCCGCCTCACTCGAACCCTAAGTACCACGTTTTCTCATTTGCCTCTGAAATGAGGGCAAAGCTCACTACCCCGTGCCGCCTTCTGTGGCCCTGGCTAAACCCGTCGACCCCGCAGAGGGCAGGCAGCTGCCTTTCTGGGTGTCACACAGTCCCAGGGTTCAGAGCTTGGAATTCCTGCCGAACAAATCTAGTGGCAGGAACGGAACATGCCCTCTGGCAGCCGGCTTGCTCATGACATACTGCTTGGGGGGTGCTAGCTCGAGATTCTGTCACCAGCCCAAGAAAAGCTGGCAAACCAACCTACAAAGCAGCACAAGCTCCACCTACTGGGACGGCCATCAGTCTCAGCGCCATCTCCAGGGGCAGCCAGCTGCCCCACGCCCCTTCAGCTTATCTGGGGCTGCTCTCGGGACAGCTGGCGGTGCACATAGCTCGGACACGGCTGTGCATGGAAATGGACAGATAAGGGTGTCCACAAGGGACCGCGCACTGACCACTCTCCACGTAAGAATTTCAAGGGGTTCCAAGATGGAACAGCCTAGGGCACACGCACAGCTGCAGGAATTTGAGCTGAGTGTGGGCACAGGTGACGGGACGGGCACGGTGAATCCAGAGGAGGAGCTGCAGCGCCCTCCCGCGGGCTCTCGGAGGACACCACCAGCACCCAGGAAGCACAGAGACTAAACAGACTGGTTTTAATTCCATCTGTTCAGGGAGCAGGGGTCGCTAGGCACTGCCCCTTCCAGACGTCGTGGTATCTCCTCCGGCTCCTCACCCCGCCTGCTTAGGTTTCTTCCTCTGAAAAACAGTAGTAGAGAAGAGAGTCATTCCTGGGGAGCAACGCCCACTTTCCTCCCTGAACCCCTTAAGACTCCTTAAGGGTGTCACCAGCGCTACTCAGAAGTGAAGCCCCTTGATCTGCACAGGCCTCCCCTTCAGTCACCACTGGCAAAGCGGGAGACGCCGAAGCCCCTGGAGCTAGCTCGGAGCAGACAGTCCCCGACACTGGGCGACACGCGACTGCACGGCCTTTCTCCGGTGCTGCTTTTGCACCAGCCTGAGCGACCCCGCCCCAGCGCCCTCCCGCGATCTAGAGGCCGGGCAAGCAGCTCCTGGAACCACAACTACGCCGCGGATTCTCGAGTTTGAAGCACCCGCCGCCACAAACCTTCCTCCTCCTCCTCCTCCTCCTCGTCCTCGTCCTCATCCTCGTCAGAGCTGAAGGTGCCGTCGGGCAGGCTGTAGACGCGGATGACCTGCTTGTTGGGGTCCTTGAGGATGAGGTACTTGCCCTCGTCCAGCCGCATGCAGATGTCCACGACGCAGCGCAGGATGCCCCAGGCGTTCTCCACGCTCAGGTTGATCTGGCTGGCGAACTCGTTGGGCTTGAACTGCTGGGTGCCCAGGATGACGTGGCGCGAGGAGTCTTTCACGTGGTACCGCGACACGTACCTGGTGGGGGCGAGGGGTTTCAGTTGGGGTCAGGCACCGCGAACATGTGACGCCTGGCCTGGAGGCGCCTGCGGGGTAAGGCCAGCCCGCCCCACCCACGGCACCCCCACTCAGCCGTCGCAGCCCCGGCGGGGACTCACCCCAGCTTGAGGTACTCGGATCCCGCCAGCAGAGCACAGCAGGTCCAGCGGGCCAGCTTGTAGCTGTTGTTCTTCAGCTCGGTGGCGATGACGGCCCCTCGCTGAGAGTCCAGCTTCTGGCGCCAGTCGACGCCGTTACAGTGCTGCAGGGGGAGGCGCGGGTGAGGAGCAGCCTCTGTGGGAAGCGACCCACAGCAGGCTGGACGGCAGCCAGTCAGCTCCTCCCGCAGAAGAGCTCACCCGGAGGGGCACACAGCGAGTTAAAATGCAGGTGCTCTGGGCAGTGGCAGGGGCTCACCACATGACACGGGAAGACGGGGCTTCTCAGGGGCACCGGGTGACCTCGTGGGCATGTGGGCAGCCGCCTGGGCGGGAGCCCGAGGGTGAGGAAGTGGAGCGTGGAGCCAGGCCCCAACCACCTGCGTGTTCCAACCCGGGTATTTCCCTCCACACTTCTGTGTGCTGTGCCATGTTTTGTACAAGTCACTGAGTGGGGGAGGGTGAAGGGGGGGTTTGTTAGGAGACAGATGCAAAACACAGAGCATCCTGACAGGGCTCCTAAACCAGCAGAATCCAGGAGTGAGAAGACTCCACACAGCAAACAGAAGCACAATGCAGGAGTAGTCGGGTGTTGAGGCAGAGCCTGAGGGAGCGGGAGACGGTGGGCCAGGCCGAGGGTACCACACGGATATTAGCCAGACGCAGTCACTTTCAATAGGGAAACAATGGGAGGCGAGTCACAGTAGGCTCGAGGGGCCTTTTTAAAACTCAAGGCTGAAGTGTAAGGCAGGAGGCTCTAAGATGATCCTGTTCAGCACCCTGGTGGCATCGCCTACCCTTGAGGGGGTGTAAGACTGTGACGGCGGGCAAGCGTCTCCCAGGATGCTGTCACGTTAGGACAAAGGAGGCTGTGACCCCCCAAGCCACGAGCCCAAGGGACTTTTAAGCCTCTGAGTGTCTACTAGGCCTGTTAGGGCACAAGAAAGTCTAAAGCATTACAGAGTCATTATGGCAGAAAGCCAGACATCTCCACTGGGGTCCAGGCAGGAGGGGAGTCAGCAAAGATCCCCTGATGGCAGTGGAGAAGTGGGCAGACCAGAAGGACGGGTGGCTGAGGGCACAGGTGGGCACAAAGCTGTCCTGAAGGGCTGCCAGCCGCTGGCCCCAGAGCCCAGCAGCCCCGAGCCCTCCCGGCAGCACAAGGGGCCCCATGTGCATTGTGCGTGAAGGCTGTAGGCTGTTCAATACAGCTGGCACCTGGGAACTGGCCCCTCCCCCCCAGGTCGTCCAGCCGCTAGAGCAGCACCCAGGGGCCCCCATCCATTTCACAGATGAGCTGGGATAACAGCCTGACACTGCGTCCCCCAGTGAGAGAACAGAAAGGAGAAAAGCAAAGGAGGCACATTTCTTTCTTCACCCCTGAAGAGCCCAATCTGAGCTCATCTCAGAGAGCCCTGCGCCAGGAGCTGGGGCAGGAGCAGAGGTGGTTATGGACCATTTGTCATGGCGCAAAAGACAACATAAGCCAGACAGAGCGAGGGCAGGCGCGGCTGGTGAGAACCGGCTCAACAGGAGGCTGCCGCCTCAGGCCAGGCACCAGGGCAAGCGGAGCCCAGGACGCGCAGAGGCCGCTCTCCTGACTCGCAGACGAGCTTCTGCTACGAGGGAAACTCCCTGAGACAGGAAAGAGCTCGGAAGCCCCATGCGCCCCACGGCTGCAGGCAGGCAGAGGCGCCTCACCCTGGAGTCCCACTCGTTGAGGGTCTTGATGTTGATGAAGGACACCTCCCCGTTGGCGCCGGTC